AGGGGCCCAAATCTCCCGCCTCCTTTGCATTGCTGGCTCCCATTCCTTTTTTAACTGGCTTTCTCTGTTTAGCCCTGTTTCGATTGCGATCGAAATATAAAGCATATATTGTTACGTAATTTCCCCGTTTCTCCCATTCCTTTTAGAACTCTCATCTCCCGCCTCACGCACCCTATTCTCTCGGGCCCCACTCCCCTGTCATCCCCCAAATAATAGTATTGGTCACCCTTTCTCGCCGCCTATTGTTAAAAACCACCTTAAAAATCACTTTAAAAATTTTGATTCAAAACATTATTCAAGTTTTTTTGTGGATTTTACCTCTATTACACGTATTAAATATGATTAGATTACTATACTGTATCCTATTTAACAATTATTCCACGAAGGCGCGTTGGATATGAGATGATCGATAGCCAACGAGGCGCGTAGCGCCGAGTTGGCTATAATCATCTCGTATCCAACAAGTGCGAGTGGAATAATTGTTTTATTAAAAACGCCCACAAAATCTCGTTGAATCTCCCCGACTAGAACAAACCGGAAAAGACAAGGGACTTCCGCTATTCACATGTCCCACGTCTATCAAAACTGTCAACGCGCGAACGGATTCGCCTGGACTGCATGAATGAAAAATCAAAACATTGTAGCGATGACTATTAGTTTTTTAAAAACTCATCGGGATTCTAGGATTTTACACAGCAGAACAGCTAAAAAAAACCTGGCAGATAATGTGAAGGAAAAGAATTTTTAAGTGACAGGCGTCGAAATTACTATGATTTTGGATTTTCGGTGCAGTTGTAAAAGTAAGAACAACGGAGAAAAACTATTTCCTCGGTCGCTTGTTATGAAGTTGTTTGAAGTCACAAGCTGGTTTTGCTGAACGAAAGAAGCTATACTGCCGCCTCGATTGCTCTAGTGAATGGCTGCATAGCCTGTATTTGTAGCTGGTTACTTCTGATTTATATTCTTGATGTCGGATAAACAAGCCGCAGTTATCTATCGGCTAGTGACTCGATCGGCGAATGGCTTCGCAATCATGAAGAAACAACACTTGTCTTCTTTCGTAGCTGGTCAAGGTACTTTAGTTCCATCATAGTTAACTATGGTTCCATGTGTTTTCATGTGTTTTTCGACAAACTTTCAAACAAGCTCTTGTGGCTTTTTTGTTTGTTTTTGTCTTTTTTCTTTCGATGAAATTGCATTTGTAGTATTCTAAGAAATGAATTAAAACGATTTGCTTCGGGCGCCGTTCTATCCTTTGCAAAAAAAAATCTCAGCTAGCTTCCAATTTTAAACAGACGCGTACGCCAACCATATAAGGAGAGCACGGTATAATAGCTCATATACCATAACGGCTAAGCCAATCAAAATGCTAGAATTGCATTATCCAATGATTCAGTTTTTAATAAAATAGGATACTTACTCTATCCTATTATAGGATACAGTAAGCGCAGTTAACATGTTATACTCCAAAAAAAATTGTCATGTTACTCCCCATAACGACGTACCACCTCTCCACAACGGCCACTTTCTTCTGTCCCAAAGGTGACCGCTGTGGAGAGGTTCGAGTGTACGCATTGTATTCACACGGCACAATGGAATCGTTTTCGTCCGGAAATATGATAGCAACCCTCACAGAGCATGCGTAATACTAGTAGAACGAGGTGGACAAATCTATCTGCTTCAAACCAACTCAAATGAAAAGTTAGACATATGCCCACTAATGCATTGAAAGCATTTCTTAGTTAACACTACCTTCAATTTTCCTTCACAAAATATACGGTCAAAAACGATTTCTGCTGTATATAGTAGCACAATTAAACCTAACATTTTATTACAGTTCAATAGTTTGTGCTTGGACTGTTAATGATTGGGGCCCTTAACTCTTTAAGTCGCCTTTTCTTGCTAAAACACCTGCAAGTCAAATAACAGTATTTCAGAAGGTCATAGACGTTCTTCTTGTGGCTGTTTTTAAAAGAACTTATAAATTTCGTAGCCATTTGGGTCTTATCAGAGGGGGAACAGTATAAATACTAAATTATACTAAGAATACGCATGAGGAAGAAAAATTTCTAAAATAGACACCGGATAGTTAGACTGGAGTAACTAAAAACCTTAATTCATTTCGGGAAATTGCCCTCACTTCACAAACCAGTACTTAGCATAGACAGAAGACTCGACATTGCTTCAGGAGAAAGGGTGGAGGAGACGATTAAGACTCAGACACTCGGAAGACGTTCAACTACTTCTAGAATTGTTCCTATTTCTATTAAAAAAGGCATATAGTCAAGATTTCCTTGAAATAAAATCTCGAAAGAATGCACTACAGTACTCCTCCAAGACCGTTTTGCAGAGTGTTCCCTTATAAGCGTTTTCAAGTAATCTTAAAATTACCTTTAATTTCCAAAATCAAAGGACACGTTATCTCCAATCAGCATAAAAGGAGCCCATTGTCCCACGTCCGGAAAGCCGTTAGCTCTCATCCACTTCATGGCTTCGTGAAGAGATTCACTAGCACTTTCTCCAAGAACAAGGTGCTCGTAAAAACGACTCATGAAATGCTTTGTTGCTTTGTCTTCTATAGCCCACAGTGCTACCAACACCGAGCGTGCACCAGATCCTAAAAAGGCTCGNCATTTGGGTCTTATCAGAGGGGGAACAGTATAAATACTAAATTATACTAAGAATACGCATGAGGAAGAAAAATTTCTAAAATAGACACCGGATAGTTAGACTGGAGTAACTAAAAACCTTAATTCATTTCGGGAAATTGCCCTCACTTCACAAACCAGTACTTAGCATAGACAGAAGACTCGACATTGCTTCAGGAGAAAGGGTGGAGGAGACGATTAAGACTCAGACACTCGGAAGACGTTCAACTACTTCTAGAATTGTTCCTATTTCTATTAAAAAAGGCATATAGTCAAGATTTCCTTGAAATAAAATCTCGAAAGAATGCACTACAGTACTCCTCCAAGACCGTTTTGCAGAGTGTTCCCTTATAAGCGTTTTCAAGTAATCTTAAAATTACCTTTAATTTCCAAAATCAAAGGACACGTTATCTCCAATCAGCATAAAAGGAGCCCATTGTCCCACGTCCGGAAAGCCGTTAGCTCTCATCCACTTCATGGCTTCGTGAAGAGATTCACTAGCACTTTCTCCAAGAACAAGGTGCTCGTAAAAACGACTCATGAAATGCTTTGTTGCTTTGTCTTCTATAGCCCACAGTGCTACCAACACCGAGCGTGCACCAGATCCTAAAAAGGCTCGAGCGATTCCTACGGCTCCCTCGGCTTTGATATGTCCACACGCACTGTGGCAACAGCTTAGAACTACCAGCTTGGCTCGAAGTCGAGTTTTTGAGATGTCGCGAATTGTCAGTAAGTAGTCGTTTTCTTCTGGAGGCGTCTTAGAGGCAGGTGAAGGGGCCAGAGCAATTTCTCCTCTTTCAGCATTCCCATGAGCAGCAAAATGTACGAGACTAAAGGAACTAATGCTTTGAAGAACAGCCTGCTTTGTTGCTTGCTTTCCTACTAGAGTTTTAGCTTCCAGCAGCTGTGTAATCATTTCAGCTTCCATTTCTGCAAAAGGCAATCTTGGCGGTTTATAAACATCTCCTCTGTACAGGACCTCACCAACATCAGGATCTCCCACTATCAGTACACCAGTCTGGTTGTGATAGTCTGATGGACTGTCATGAATTAACTTTAGTGTTGTCAAAGAGGGGACGATGCGGATCTTGAAAGACTCTGATAAATACTTCCCACTTTCATCTTGTAACGCCGTAAACGGAACTTTGAAAAAGTAGCGATCAGGGACAATAATAATTTCGGCCTCGTCAAGGAATTCGGCCACAGGGGCAATGATCATATTGTAACACTGAGAAAGAGTAGGAATGGGTTGCTGATCTTTGTTGTCATCTTCTACAAGGCGGGCGGCAGCAAGGCTGTCTTCCTTGGTATTAGAAGAAAACCATGATCGATCCTCGCACTGCTCTGGATATAAGGTATGGAATTGCCTCACGATTTCAGTGCCAAAAATTTCATCCACATATCTTACAAAGTCTTTGTCAACGAAACAGGTATTGACATCTATTGCTCGCAAACGTATAGGTTCATTTGATTTAATAATCCACAAAAGTATTAAGTGAAATGCATAGGAAATGTATAGACAGATGCACTTTCTTTCATTCTCCATAATGCTTTCAATGCCCATCCACGTCTGTGGATTATGTGATATTTCTTTTGGCAAGGAGTACTGTACCGACATTAAGTCTGCTAGGGCTCTTGCTCGTCCAAGCTCTACAGTGTAAAGTGCCTGGTCAGGATTTTTAGTTCGGGAAAATAGGAAACTTAGAAACTGGTAGGCATGCGCGTGCTCGTCGAACAGTGATATCTTCATCTGGTCATCCGCATCTGTCATGAAACTTAGGATTCTTTCAAACTTGTGAATTTTGGCCAGGAGAAGCGATTTAGCTTCATTCACGTTGCCTTCCAACAGCATTATCATTGCAAGGTTACTGAGAGAATCCATCTCGTTTTCGATGTCTTCAGCTTCACTGCTCATTAAAAGTGCTTTCTCGTGATATTCTTTAGCCTTAGCGTATTCACCCTGAAGCAGAGACACAATTCCCAGTTTTCCATAGCTTGATGCTTCTCCTATTCGATCTCCCATTTGTTTTGACATCGCAAGAGACTTTTCATAATTTTCTTGAGCCATAGCGTATTCACCGAGACACCGAAACAGCGTTCCCATCTGTGCATAGCACCACGCTTCTGCTCCTTTGTCGCCAGTTTCTTTTGAAATCTCAAGTGCCTTCTCGTGATAATCTTTAGCCTTAGTATATTCTCTTAGAAGTCTACATACATTTCCAAGATGCCCGCAACTAGCTGCTTCAGTTTCTCTATGGCTAATGTCCGTTGCAATTGTGAGTGCTTTACAGTAATATTCTTGAGCCTTGGCATATTCACCAAGAGAAAGGAAAACACTCCCAAGGTTTCCGAAACCTATCGCCTCTCCTTTTCTGTCGCCAATTTCCTTAAAGATCTCAAGTGCCATTTCGATATATTTCATTGCTTCAGTATATCGTCCCTGAAACTCAAACGCAATCCCTAGGTTGGCGTAATCGGCTGCTTCTCCTTGTCTGTGACCGATTTCTGATCTGATTTCCAGTGCCTTTTTATAGTATTTGTAAGCCTCGGCAAATTCACCGAGACGCACAAGCACAGTTCCCAGATTTCCGTAACACATGGCTTCGTTTTCTCTGTTGCCTATTCCTTTTGTTATCATGAGTGCTTTTTTGATATGTTCCTTAGCTTCTCCATATTTTCCAACAGACCTAGACACTTCTCCAAGGTTTAGGTAGCTTGATGCTTCACCTTTTCTGTCCCCAATTTCTTTTCTGATTTTCAATGCCCGCCCGTGATATTCTTTTGCCCTGTCATTTTCACCCAGTGACTTAAACGTAACTCCCAAGTTTCCACAATGTCGAGCTTCTTCTTGTCTATCGCCAAGTTCTTCTGAGATCGAAAGTGCCTTCTCGAGGTTTTTTTTGGACTTGAAATATTCACCAAGACTCTCAAACACAGTTCCCAGGTTTCCGTAGCTTAAGGACTCCATTTTCCTGTCGCCAATTACCATAGCTATGTGAAGGGCTTTTTTGGAATGTTCCTTCGCCTCAGCATATTTTCCAAGAGAATGACACACGGTTCCGAGATTAATGTAACACGACGCTTCAGATTCTTTATTTCTGGTGCCCATTTCCTTTATGATCAGAAGTGCTTTTTGGAGATATTCTTCTGCTTTGAGATATTCTCCCGGAGACTGTGAAAGAATTCCTAGATTTAAGTAGGCCAATGCTACTCCATTTCTGTCGCTAACTTTTTTCGCGATCGCAAGTGCTTTCTCGTTAAACTCTACAGCCTGTCCATGCTTACCTGTAGAACGAAACAGGCTTCCCAGGTTTCGATAACACCAGGCTTCCTTTTCCTTGTCGCCAATATTCTTTGCGATCTTAAGTGCTTTTTCGTGAGTTTCTATTGCCTTGGCATAATCTCCGAGAGACTGAAGCACATTTCCCAGATCTCCGTAAATTGAGGCCTCCATCTCCATGTCGTCAAATGTTTTGAGCACCTTCAGAGCGTTTTCGTAATAATCTTTAGCCACGACATATTCACCTTGGGATTTATACACATTCCCTAAGCTTCCGTAGCAAGCGCATTCACCGTATTTGTCGCCAGATTCTTTCGCAATCGCAAGTGCTTTTTGGTGACATTCTTTAGCCTCCACAAATTCGCCAAGAGACCAGAGAACGGATCCTAGGTTTTTGTAACAGGCTAACAATCCCTTTTTATCACCCGTTTCGATCATGATGCTGAGTGCTTTCAAATAAAACTCTTTTGCTTCTTGATATCTACCAAGGAACAGATGCATTTCAGCCAGTTCATAAGTCACTTTTTGGTCCACGTCTTTTTTTCCATTTCTTCGAGCTAAAACGAGAAGGTCTCGGCCACATTCCATGGCATTTGTGCGATCCTTCATAAGAACGTACCCATTAAACATCTGAAGGAATATACATTCATGAATTGATGCGAGCAATTCTCTCTCTCCTTCCAATGCCTTGCTCTTGAGAAGAATCAAACATTCCTTGAACAACTTGATGGCTGCAGGAACGCGCCCGGTTTTAAGAACAAAAGCAGCAACGATGAAGCCGATATGGAACGCCTCAAGAACCTCGTCTACGTTGTCCATGACAGTAAGCTTTAAATTAAAACAGAAAGATGACAATGACCAGTCTTTTCAAATTTTTCATTAAGGCAAAGGGAAGGAAAAGGTTGTATTGAGAAATTCTGATGTTGTGCACACCAAACGTACGCAAATGCCCAAGTTTAAGCCTTATTTGGGAAAAAGTTAAGTTTGCTCTCCCTTTAATGCGGAATCAAAGCTGTATCACCATTTTTGAAATGCAAATTTACCGTCTTTGACTATTATTTCAAATATTTACGATGCTGTAGCTAGTATTTTGCTGTCTCTGAGTGGCTGTGCTCCCTACCCGTCGCTAATTGCCAACGTGTAATTCACTTCTCTTTTAAGGTCATGGTTGGCGAACTTTTGGAGGTAGTCGAATGGCACTCGATCACTCACTCACTCGACTCTCCTTAATTTATTCATTAAATTTGGATTAAACATTCGACTGCTACCTCCCCTACTAAGTACTGCTTTAGTGCGACTATGTTTGGCAGATTCTACCGAGTACTAGAAAAGCTTACATTTTTGCCTAATAACATGGAGTAGATGAAATCTTTTGCGCCCGCCTGAAGATGGGTCTTTGTACAATGGAAAGTTTAAAAGGCAAAAGAACACGGACAACACCAATTGCTGAATGGAATTGTTAAAACGACACTAAAAGTATAGAGCGTAGGTCATTGTTATTTTGACGAAATACCCCCAATAACATGGAGTAGAGTGAGCGTGAAAGAGCTATCGCGTAATCTCGGCTTGAAGATGGGATTTCGTTTAGTGAAAAGCTAATAAATAAGCCAAAGAATCGTAGCTTTGGAAAATGGATCTCGAATTGTTAAAGCGACGTTAAGGAATATTAATGTCATTATTTAGCTTATTTGGACAAATCGACGAATTGCAGATTGGTTGTAGCAAAGGACACAAACACAACATCCTTATAAAGTTAATCAACCTGATTGCAATAAATGCGTCAAGAGTTATCTTAAACCGGTTATATTACATTACAACTGTCAAAAAAAAACGAAAACAACTTCTCAACAACTTTCAAAATTAGTATGCACAATTTAATATAAAATGTGTACACCTCGAACTGTTTATTAAACAAGACGCTGTGGGTGCGTATATTTAGACGTCAATGTACTAGGCGTGTGTGAAGTTTTGTTTATGTGTATTTAATAGGGATGTGTGAGTAGAGCAGTAGCGTTGTATATTTTAAGGGTTGGTCGAGATGCGTGAAGTGGAGGGCGTGAAGTTATAATGGACGGGAATTGGTAAGGTAATGGCTGAAGTTAGGTGATCAGTGAAAATTGTTTCTCGTAGAATTAAGAAGGGACAAAAAATTATAATTTTGGGAGGTAAAAGTTATTTTAAGTGTTGCAATGAGGTATTTGTGAAAGTGTTAACTTGGTTATCAAGGGATAGTGTAGTTATAGTGTGTTGAAATAAAGTGGTGGTTGTGAAAAATCTTATCAATAGTCGAAAACATACTTGTACCTACGTTGCTAGGCTTTCTGTTTAGGATTGTTTTTCGCTTATTTTTGATAATATTTGTATGGAGAGAACATAGATAAGGCCAACAGTTCATTTAATATAGAGAAGGGAGGGGCTGAAATTTTGTGCGTGCTCAGGGGCTTTGACAAATCGGTGAGGTTAAGGGGAGGGCGTAAAATCTGGCTATAGAACTAAGCGCCTGATTCCATGAGCCGGGCTGGCTCGCATTGCAGAGATCCCGGCACCTTACTAGATAAACGCAGCAAAATACGAATTTTCGGTTATATGACAACCGAGCCAGCCCGGCTAGCTGGAATCCCAGTATTGTGATGCCGGGATCCCGGGTGGCAATTTTCCAAGTAATCACGCTTGCCGGGACAGGACAGCGGGTAACACATTGTTCATGCGTATTGCTTCCCCGGGTCACGTGATCAGGTCCTTACTGTGAGTTGCATTTTCACGCAGCTCGTTTGAAGGTGAAAGCATTAGAATTTGCCGCTTTCGTGGTTCGCTTATGAGTGAATACGACTTAATCTAATTAACCCAAGGGTTTTAAAAATAGAACGCGGTTTGCATGTGAAGATGTTGGACTCTGCCCCTTTTACCGTTCAACCGTGAAAGAATGCAACTTGTTTACGAGGACATTTTGCTCATTAAGATGTTAAGAAATCACCTCCTTTCCGAAAATATGCAATGAAACTATGCATCATTCAATCAGTTAACCTTAATTAACGCCTGCGTCGCAAGTGGAGGTTGAGTGCCTATGGGCCAGGAGGCTGCAACCGCAATTACACCCCAAAGCAGAAGAACACCCACGGGCCTACCAACCTGCAAACCAGCCACGAGCGCCCCCCCCCCCCCCCCCCCCTCCCCAAAAACCCCCAAAAAAACGGGGGAAGGGGGGGGCACCCACAACACACCAAAGCGGAGGGGGGGGGACCCACAGAAACCACCAACACCAAAACAGCTAATACAAAAAAAACAATTAACCAATCATACATTAACCAAAAAAAAAACCCCCGCCCGCAAGGGGGGTGGGGGGCCCCTGGGGCCAGAGGCGCCCCCCCCAAAAAACCCCCCAAAAAAAAAAAACCCCCCCGGCCCCCCCACCCCCAAACACCCCACCGGGGCCCCCCCCCCCCCCCCCGCCCCCTCGCCAGAAGCCCAGAAAAAAAGCGGGAAGGAGGTGGAGACCCTAAACCAAGAAAGCGGAGGGGGGGGGACCAACAGAAACGCTACACTACTAGAACGCCACGCCACGCTAACAAAGCTTCGAGTACTACGCAAACGCAACGTAGGCGCATGGCCTCCGCATGCACCAAAGCGACATACCGCTGGACAGGAATCTGCCCCTCATGCTCACGAACAATGGTAAACGCTACAAACGCAAACATGATCATGCAACAGCGCTACAGACGGCCAACACGCCACCAAAGAATGCCAAAAACACTCGAGACCATAGCTCCTAGTCCTTCACTACATTAAATATGATTTAATAGTATTTAACTCATGCACGAGATCATGGAATTTTGCGTAGCATCTTCTTTTGCTTTCGACAACTGAGAGCAAAAATATTGTCAAACTCTTGGCAATAAGCCAAACCATTCACACCGTGTGCTGCGTGCACGACTATTTTCCAAAGAGAAAATTTAAATTGTTTAATAGTTTGTTTCAATCAATTTACCTTGTTTTCCAAAAAGTTTGTTTTCTATTGCCGATTTGTTTGCCGTGCGTTATCTGTGGGTCGTATGTAAAGGAAGATAAATGCTGTGTTGTGACACACCGCGCGGCAGACATTCTCGTCGCTTGTCTTGTTTACGCTCGCATGTATTGCGTGCCTATTGCAACTTTGAATCAAATATTACTCTATTTGGGTGACGCCCAAACTGAATGAACCCGGTCGGTCGAGGTCTCAGTTCTCAAGTGATATGGTTTTGATATCGCTTCATATAAAGCGCCGTAACGAAGGTGGGGCGTTAATTTGTAAATACCCAAATCAGCGCCACGGCGCTTATTTGAGAAGGGAAAAAAGGGGTTTTCAAGAGGGCCAGTTTGGAACATGCTGGGCCGTTTTGGACAGAAAGAGTCAAAACAGTTCTAGATGCTACCAATTGGGCCCATCTAATTTCTGAATTGGCTCCACTAAAAGCCGACTTTGGCACTTCCTCTCAATTTGGCCCTTCCGATAGACAAATAAAAATGCCGATTTGGCCCCAACAGGGTCTATGCCGGAGCGAACTCCTTTTGCCGTCAAAAGGGGCGCAAGGAGACCGCAGTGTTTGGTTAAAGTAACCATACGTCTGACACAATCCAACTTGTAAGGTCCGTTTAGTCGAGCGAGGAACTAAGATGACTTTAACGTAGACCTAAAACCGTGACGACACGAAGCTATAAATCGGAAACAAAACTACAATCGCGCTTCCTAATGTTCTGCACAAGATTAGATTTCCAATATCGATAATATTACATGATGCGTGACGCAAACTAAACGCTGAGAGGGCGTTACAGTATGATAAAAGACCCTGGGGACGAGGTTGGATAGCAAACAAAGACCCAGCCATGTACATATATTTTCTGATTTATTAGTAAAAGGTTTTTAAAATGACACGACATGTACACGATCGAAAACGTATTTTAAGAATGAAAATGGGGCCGGGCAGACGGCCTGGAAACAATACATTTCAGTACACAGCGACGCGCACAACTGGGCAGCGGGCTTTCCTGCAGTACATGCTCTTTTGGCGTCCATTTGAAAGTACTACAACGGTTGCGAACATGCCAGTGTCTTTGGGGATCAGGAGTCTTGTATTCGGGAGCGCATTCCTTTCGTATTCTTGGGAGTCAAAAATTGCCTTGTTTTCTTAACTTTCCCGTATCCCGAGCCTTTCACCCGAAAATAGTGTGATTTTTATTGGCTGCAACTTCGAATCATGTGCAAGTCAGGTTGGATTGCAGATACGGCGTCAGCAAAGAAGGGAAAAGTGAGCTTACTGGTTTCTTGATTTAAAGTCAAAAAGCTAGAATGTCTAGAATTTATTAGTTACGAAGTCGTAGCTCGCTCGGTCGTTTCGCAGCTTAAAAAGAACGCTCCATTGGCTAAGAAACTCTTGAGGTCGACTTGTATTTAGCAATATTTAGAATGTCTATCAAAAAGCTTTAAGAAAATGTTGTTTTAACAAAATCGGGCTGCGGGCACGCGTTGGTGTTCAAAGGTCGTTTCACGCAGAATCTTACTTTTCCATTTAAAAAACATGAAATATTCGGCCGCGTTGCCCATGTTTCTCATATGGCGAAAACCTACTTTTATATGACAACATGCAGTTTTTTTTTTCGGACGCTCAGGAGGTCAAAGGATGTGATTTTTCATGAAAAAAGTATTCACAAAATTCTGCTCGACTTGTTCAGAAAATAATTTGTTTAATTTTTAATAATTAACTAACAGCTCACTGATTTATTACTTGGAGGCCCGGGCACCCCAGCTAAAATGTTTGAGAGACCGAAGGTTCCCTGAAAATTTT